ACACTTTCTCCTGTGCCAGTCCTGGGTCAAGCAAGAAACCAAAGTGACACTGGAACTAACTTAAAAACAACCCTAAAGGGTGATTCTCTCCACTGCTACAGCAAGAAGAAGCCCATGAATCCACCATACCCAGGTGAAAAAGGCAGATGCCATATTTGCTGCCAAATGCATTTTCTGTGGACTACAGACCCCTTACAATTAGGTTTCCTTGATCCCTAAGTCTCTTCCACTTCTTTGTCTACCTCCTCCCGAATCTGATAAAACCTTGCTGTGCTTAGACCTGGACTTGGAAACTAAGACAGGTTCAGGAAAGGTATTACCTAATACAACCACAGAACAGTAACTCATATTCATTTTTATCTCTGCTTACTGATGCCCAGTTTAAATGTCAGATTGTATTAAAGAGAGGAAAGATATGAGAGCTTATCTTTTGAGGTAGAAATACAGAGTATATATTGTGGCTGGGCCTCTGGTCGTCAGAATAAGGGAGTTTCCATTCCAAAGATTAGGTCTGTAAAACTGAGGCTTCCTGGAAAACTTCATTAAAAAGATTCTGGCCTAAAGAAAACAGGAAATCCCTGCAGAATCAGTCTCTATGCCACAGGAAGGGACTATGCAGATGGTCTTAATTGTTTCCACCCACACATAGGCCAAGATTGCTAGTTGTGCTAGACACCAGGCCCAAATCATATACTTCATAAGGATAAAAATTAACCAGACTATCAGCCAATTGGCTGACAAGACTAGTCGAGAGTGGGGACAGGGCAAAGCAATGTTGTTCTTCATGGGCTAGGGCATCAGGATAATAATATTACCAAGAACCTAGGGCTGACTGTTGAGCATGTAGCAATGGTTTGACTGAATGGGCCTCTTCTGATGCTTTCTAAAGAAAGGTTGATCAGGATCTGATGGTAGCAAAAGTTTCCATTTCTGAGTTAAATCAACAGTTAAATTCCATTATAAAAATCATCCTACAAAACTGAAAAGATTAGACTGACTTATCATGACATAAAGTAAACTATGTACGGTTTGGAAAAAAAATCCTGTTGTGCCTATGATAACTGATCAGGAGAAATTTAAAAAAATATTGCCATTGTTAGGGAAATGGTTGATACCAGTCTCCCTTCTCCTTGTCTCACAGGCTAACTATACTTGTTATCGGCACTGGCGGGGCCTTTAATTCTCATACGCACTGGATTAACAGTGGGGCCCTGCACCTTTAACCAGAATAGGATGAGACAATGGCTGACCCATTAGCTAACTCCAGTAAGAAATTTAACAGATCCCAGACCTCAGTAGACCCAGAACTTAGGATAACTGAGTCCGTGATGGAAGTGCCATTCAGGCTGTAAAACATCATGCAGACAGCATCACCTGCTAAAAATAAAAACAAAGGTCTAATCCATCAAAGGCCATACTTGCTGGAAGTCTTGAAGATGTACTAACCTTGCTTTTTAGTCTGTCGTTCCACTTCGGCTATCTTTTCTTGATAACTGAAGTATGTCAACCCAGAACAGGTTTTCTGGCTTAAAAGCACATCCTGAAAAAGTCTCAGGGATATACTGGGATCAAGAACAACCTGTATAGTTCAGCCCAGATAATAAGGACTCTTTATTGGCTTAAACACATACCCCAACAATCTTCTCTGGTGAATATCCCAAAACAAACACATCACAGAACTTTCTCCAAAACTGAACACTTACTCAGACACAAAGCAAGTCTCAAGAGATGTAAGAAAACTGAAATAGCCCCATGCATCCTACCAGACCCCCACATATAAAAGTGGAATATCAATAGCATTGAAAGCATCAGAATGCTTTCAAACTCAGGGAACCTGAACACCTCTCTAATAAAGTGAATAATGGGTCAAGGTAAATATAGAGAAGTGAAAGACTTTCTAGAAGTAGCCATGACACAGACTGAATGTTTTCTCAAGAAATCAGTCCAACTGGCTGCTCTTCCAGGTCTTGAGTTCCATTCCCAGCAATCACATGGCTGCTCCCAATCATCTCTAGTGAGACCTGATGCCTCAACGGAAATAAAGGCATACAAACAGACAGAGCACTAATATACATAAATAAAGAACCTTAAAAAATTATTTCTAAAACTATGACACCCACAAGATTCATCCTTTACCTTCCATTTAGTTTTACTTGATTTGCCAGGACATGTACAAAACACAGAGAAATCATGTGTCAAAATATGACTCTTGTAATGCGGTGAAGCACTATAACCAACTCTTTTTTTTTTTTTTTTTTTTTTTTTTTGGTTTTTCGAGACAGGGTTTCTCTGTGGTTTTTGGAGCCTGTCCTGGAACTAGCTCTTGTAGACCAGGCTGGTCTCGAACTCACAGAGATCCGCCTGCCTCTGCCTCCCGAGTGCTGGGATTAAAGGCGTGCGCCACCACCGCCCGGCGTATAACCAACTCTTTTAACTGAAGGAGTGAACACAGTGATAGAAGGTTAGTTCATTCTCATCATGAAAGGAAGCATCAGAGTGTGCATGCACGTGGCTGAGTGTTACATCCTGATACACAAGCAGCCAGGCAGAAGGAAACACGTGCCTCGCCCAGAGATTGTGAATCCTCAGAGCCCACTACACTGACACACCTATACAAACAAGACACATCTAACCCCACAAGGGCATAGCTCCTAATTTTACACAATTTCACTAATTGGGGACCAAGCATTCAAAGACAGGAGCCTAGGGGTGTTCAACAAATATACACCATTACAGAAATTCAACCTAAGAAGAAAGAGCTTTAAAGGAAAAGAGTAGAAAATTAAGCCAACGAGAGAGGAAAACACAGAAAGAGAGTTACAGAGAAAGGGACAGAAGGAAAAAATTTATTTCCTTCAAATGAGGAGCGCCAACTTGCCTAGCTGGGTTACAGACGTCCTTACCATAACCTTCCCTAGCCTATCTAAGAAGAGATTAAACAAGCCTGTATCTTTTCTCTGAGTGCACGGCATTATCCCTTGCATAAGTCTGTATCTTTTCTCTGAGTGCATGGCATTACCCCTGTGTAAGCCTGTATCTTTTCTCTGAGTGCATGGCATTACCCATTGTATAAGTCTGTATCTTTTCTCTGAGTGCACGGCATTATCCTCCCCTATCCAGTTCCCTCAGAGAATCCGGGAAACCTCAGCACAGGTGTGTTGGAAGGATGGAGGGAGTCAGTCTCCTTGGGCATAAGTGTGACTATTGCAGATGACGCGGTCTGGAGCTGCATTTCTAACCGGGTAGATGTGCCACCCAAGGCGCAAAGGTTTAAAATTTTACTTCACTGTTTTGGGACGGAGATTGAGACAAATAACTACTGTATACTGTGTGCATCCACGGCTACCCTGGAGCAAGCTCTATAGACCAATAGATACTGTGTGCATCCACGGCTACCCTGGAGCAAGCTCTATAGACCAATAGATACTGTGTGCATCCACGGCTACCCTGGAACAAGCTCTATAGACCAATAGATACTGTGTGCATCCACGGCTACCCCGGAACAAGCTCTATAGACCAATAGATACTGTGTGCATCCACGGCTACCCCGGAACAAGCTCTGTAGACCAATCTAGCCTCAAACTCAGAGACCTGCATGCCTCTGCCTCTCCAGTGCTAAGATAAAAAAAGCATGGAACTATTTTAACAAATTAAACCCAAGAGTCTTCAGTTCCAGAAAACATAGGGAGTCACAAATTTTTCTGATCACAGCCCAGACCACACTCAATTGAGATGGCACCATGCACATCTTGTGTTTGGGGACTGCAGAGAAGGTGAGAGACCTGGGGGACAACACTGACTTCCACAGCAACAATCCGTGTGCGGACTCATCCGTCTCTGGCTGCGGTCACGCTTCCCCAGCTGTGTGGGGCCTCCCTGCCCATCCTCTCCCAGATTTGTGCAAACCTGACTAAAGTGCTCTTTTAAAGGAATTGCTGTAACACTGCACATTTAGCCTTGGAGAGGTAGGGATCACACTGAGAACTGTGCCTAACGCAGGATGGGCTCACCATAGTAGGGAGCTGGACTAACAAACAGTAGAAAGAACTATGTGGTAGCCGTCATCTTGGCTATTATGCCAATATTATATTATAACAATACAGAATTTGTGCTCTAGATACAACAAAAAGACAATAAAATATCTAACCATTTATGTTACCAACAACAGAAATCCCATGAGAAAAGGTCATCATGAATGAAAACACAATCAACACATGACTGAATAAAGACTTCACACAGTGACACCTTCTGTCTTCTAACTTTGAATGCAACTGTAATAAAGAATGGACCGAACTTGGAGGTGGTGGCACACACCTTTAAACCCAGCACTTGGGAAGCAGAGGCAGGTGAGAATCTGTGAGTTTGAGGTCAGCCTGATGTACAGAATGAGTTTCAGGACAAGCTACACAGAGAAACCCTGTTTCAAAGAGAGAGAGAGAGAGAGAGAGAGAGAGAGAGAGAGAGGCTGGCTGTACTGTCTGGGAAAGAATAAGAACATCAAAAGAACATGAGAGCAAACAGAAAAAAAACATAACTAATATAGAGTCAATTTTGGCACATGATGCCAGGAAACCCAGGATGTCGGGACTTACTGACACCAGTGGCCGAACCACCATGGTATCTACGTACAAATGCATTAACGTCCTGCACAGAATTAACAGCAGCGGGATCCTACACCTGAATGGTCAGGGCCAAGTGCAGTACCTCTAGAAGACACTAGAGTGGCCAGAGAGCTCTGTGAGTTATAAAATTTGTCTTTTCCTTGGGATTTAAACAAAAAAAAAAAAAAACCTTGCAGCGTGACTAGGATGTTTTCACTCAAAGGCTCTGCTCTCATGTCTGCGCAGGCTCATTCTACAGAGCGAAGTCATTCAGTGATCCTGTTTCTGCCTGGGAATCTCAGGGACCTCAGGGGACCAAAGGAAATGATACCGGGCACCGAGCTGCGCTGCCTGCTCGTGCAGCTCCTCTCCACAGGGGGAAGACAGCCTCTCACTGACCATGGCGCTGGACTCTCCTCACAGCTCCCGGCAGCAGGTCACAGCACAGCACAGCACACACGGATCACGAGAGTCTCCTTCCGTCCCAGGGAGGCTGGAGTCCGTCAGTCTGAAACACGGTGGGCCGGAAGTGCCCGCCCTATTCTGGATGACGTTGTGGCTGGAGGCGACGATTGGCTCGTGATACCTGAGTGACAGGGGCAGGTCAGAAACAAGGAAGTTGGAAAAGAAAAGAGAAACCAAGACAGGACAGAAGGAAAAGAAGTTTGCAGTAAAATGAGTAAGAATCATGAGTTCAGGGACGGTCTGTTAAATCAGTCCCTTAGTAGGATGCAGCAAGATCTGTCTCTGTGGTACGCATATTACCTCAGGCCTGCTCAGGTAGTGCCTACAGCATCCAGAATGAAGACTGGGTCTGTTCTACTACCATGGGCTCCTTTGTGGCAAAACTGTACTTTGTACTGAGGGCCCTGTAGCAGGAGGATCACTGTGAGTTTAGGCAAGCTTGGCTTCTAAGTGAGACACTATTTCCAAAAAACCAAATAGCAAAACATTGCAACCTCTGCCACCACAGCTTTGCGACCATTACTGTCAGTCTTGGTTCTGGAGTCGACATGGGACTATGGTACCCTGGCATTTGGCCCCAAGTTCACAGTCTGCTTTTGACATACCTGCCTGGAATCTGTGGTAGTGCTGAAGCGAGAGCCAGGAGCAGTGGCAGTTCCGTGAGGAATGCTTGTCCAGCTGTGTATACCGCTGTGCTTCGCTTCTCTGTGGAGGAATTTTATCCTCTGTCCTCTTTATGAGACTTACTAACACTTGGCTGGCATGTTCACTCTGGCACACTGTGTGATTTCTGGGTACATAATCTAGTTTCCCACACCGCTTTGGACCTGGCTGAACTCAAGCTGGACTCTGGCAATAAAAGCCTTGTCAAATAGCTTTTTTAAAATGGAGAGAGAAGAAGTTTCTGCCGCACACATCTTGGCAGGGCAGGCAGAGTGAACTCCAGGTGCTTTAGGCTTCCAGGCCAGCCGTGTGCACTTGAACTTGTCCTTGCACAGCGTCTGACTGGAACCCAGAGCTCTCAGGCTGGGAGCTGCCTGTCACCGCTTCCTACCCAGGGCCCAACAGAGCCAGAAGGCAACCACCGCTGCAGCGTGAGCTAGCCCAGATAGCCCAGACCTTAAAATTTACTTCTTGTATGTTTGTTGACTTTTGTTTAAATGTTTTTTTTATTGTTTTTCCCTCATTGAGAAGAAAGGGTTTTTATTTTTTCCTAGTAGTAGGAATAATATCAATGGTCCCTTTTTGGGAGAAAAAAGGAAAACAAACCCAACTTTTGGCACAGAATAAGAACAACCAGGGCTAAAAGTACTAAGCCAATGCCGTTCAGATTTCCAGAGGTGTTTGTCACTCATTGTATGGATGATGTTCCCTTCTCCTGATCTAATGCTAAAACTAAGCTTAATTTTCACAGCAAATAAACTAGCAGAGCAAAATTGATAATTTTGAATGGTATAATTTGGTGTCCTTGAGCTTAAAATTCTAAAAAGGGGGAGAAGAGGAATTTGTGTGTTAAACTACGTCCTTAAATGTGGTTGTTTAAACTAGGAGTTTCTAATCAAAGAATGTAGAGAAAGGGAAGGAATTTAGAAGCCTCCTAGAGGATACCTGGGCGTTTTTTTCCAGCCACACCTCCCCAGCGCCCTAAAGATACTGATGGTATACCTCCGGTCAACTCTTATCTGCCTTTTTTTGTGAAAATATTCAAGATCAGAGAATTGCCTTTAGTGTGTGTGTGTGTGTGTGTGTGTGTGTGTGTGTGTGTTGGAAAACTTAATAGGAGGCTGAAAAAAGAAACTGATGCAAAAAAGTACATAGTGGAGAATTCTTTGTGTCCTCTGATCTAAGCCCTGTTCTTGTTGTAAGTCTCCTTCTGGACCCTGAGGGGACACTGAGGCTGGCACTCAGAGGTCCCCATAGTATATTTTCCTAAGAGGGACAAGGCAAACAGCCTTTATTGGTATTAAACTTTTCATTGAAAAGAGGCAACCTTGGCTTGTAGTGAGGGGGGAAACATGATCAGGCAGGACCAGGCATGTAAGACAAGCGAGGGACTGTGGGACAGCATGCTTGTGTGGGTGGGATGGCTGGGTTATGCAGTCTTGTAACAATATAGCAAAGCTGGCAGCCACAGTCCCAATAAGATTGCAAACACTGAACAGAGAAATCTGGGGATAATTGCTATGGCTGGAGAAGTTACCCTCCTCTTCCCATGCTGATGGATGGGTTCCCAAGGTCTGACCTGGGGCCTGTGGGCCTTGACTTCTGGCCAAACCTGGCCAAGGTTTGGCTCTGTGGGCCAAGGCAATGAGTCACTGGCCACTGGTTCTTGGTGAGCGTTTTATGTTATCTGAAAAGAGAGAAGGATATTGGTAAAAAGTGAGAAAGACCTTGGTATGTTGACTGGAAAGCGAGGGAGAAAGCAGGTGACTGGAAGAATGAAGAGAGGAAGCATGGATTAAAGGTTTATAAAAGATTATAGAAGGTCAGAAGAGGATGTGAACTATGTTTGCTGTGGATTCTCATACCTGCAAATACTGAATATGCTTGTTTTGTTGAAAAGTTTGTCTATGTAAGTTTTCTTGTAAGCACGGGGCTGAGACAGAGATGGTTTGGATATTTTTGCTGTCTCTGCCACCCATCTGAGCTCTGGTTACTGGATTTGGGTTAGCAGAAATTCAGGTGACTTTTTGATGTAGACAATGTTAAAACTGTTTTGTACTGTTCTTTATTGAAGAGCTGGCTCTACAGTTGGATTATGACTCTTTCCTTCACTAGACCCTAGCATCCAAACACCGAGGAGGAGTCACCCCCAGACACCACCTCACACACCACAGCTGATGCAAAAGCATGAGGATTTTATTAATTCTGTCATGACAGGGTCCCTCAGCATTTGGGAAGCCGAGAGACCTCGAATAGCTGGTACAGGCTACTTTTAAAGGAGAAGGCCACAGAAGCAAGTGGGGGGGGGTGTTCTCTGACTATTATGATTGGCTTATTCGAAAGGGCTATTACTCATAATTGGCTGGAGAGCTGTTGCCAGATCAGATGAGGTAAGAGGTCATTTTGACCCTGTTTCCCAGGGGACTAAATCAAAAGATACATGTATGGGTAATTGTTCAGGAACTGAGTCAACATCTTAAAGGTTATCTTGCCCCAATTTCTGTAGAACATACGTGCATGTGTAGCTGTTAGGTCCTTGGTTCCCAGGGGAGGAGGGGAAGCACTAAGGCAGGGAGGCTGAAAGGGTTCAGAATTGTCTTAAAGTTTTACACTATTAGGTATATCTGAAAATACGAACTTCATTTGCTTTTAATCACTTGTTTTAGGCTTAAATTTGGAAACATATACAGCAGGATAAGGAAGGTTTAGTCTTGTGATTAATTACATTTGTACATAGTGTGAATTTAAGTATAGTTCTGAGAACTTTAAAGAGTTTTCTTCAAACCCTTGAGGTAGTTGTGGGTGTTTGCATAATTGACTGACCGTGGAAAAGGGTCTTTCTTGGAGAACAGATACAGCATTACAGAATATTTCAGTTTTTTGTAAGACAAGTTTATCCAAAAAGCTAAAGCTTAAAGCAAGCCAAGACAAACCTAGGCATATACTTCTGTGAACCTTAAAATACCTTAGGAAATTATAAATCTTGATTATTAAATATACCTTAATTGTCAAACATATGTTACTTATCTAAATTTCCTAGCAACCTGAAATTAGACCGCAGTAGTTAGACTAAATCTTAAATCAGTTTTTATTAACATGAATAGACCTTTATAACTTTAAAAGCTTACCACCATACAGAGTATATTCTAAACCAGAGTTGAATCACCTAAAATTTTTATCATCAGATAAAAACCCATATTAATCAAAAATATTTGAGATTTGCTGTTACTTCCTTAGTCTAAAAGGAAATACAAGTATTAGCAGAGACTCACTAGGATAAAGAAATTTTACATTTACCACTTTATACCATGTGGTTATCTTAAGATGGTGAAGTCACATGGCCTGGACCCTTTTCCCTTAGTAAACATGATAGCCAGCCGTCTAGCTGCTTACATCCGAGGAGGTCATCAGTCAAAGCTACGGAGAGCCACATGGTTGTTATTCAAAATGTATTTTCCAGTATAAGAGTTGAATCTCAGCAACGTATACAGTATATTCTAGAAAAGAGTTGAATCACATATACAGGATGTTGTACCAAATTAAAGTCCCTGTGTATAATAAGTTTTAACTAGGAGCTTTTTGCTCTAAGTTTTAAATCAAATCATGTTGCTGATTTTTGGATTCTTTAAGCACACCCAAAAAAGTTACAAATCAATTTTTAGAGAAAGACTCTTTTCATAAGACTCTTTAATGGCTTTTTGAGAAAAACTCCAGAGAAATCACATAGATGAAAGGTTTAAGGGAGGGGTGATGTAGATAGAGATAGGAGAATTTGGGGTCATTTGCCTGTGCAATGGCAGAAGTTGATATCTGTGAGAGTTTGGAAACTCGACTGTACCATCTTTAATCAGCAAGCTATACTTAGGGCATGCAATGTTCAGATAGACAGCGAGGCTTTAAAAAAACCCCTGAGTCTGCAAAAGGAATTGAATCAAAAGAGAGAAGGTGGAAGGGTACAACAAGATCATTGTCATAGGGATAGGTAGTCGGTTAAAAGACAGAGAACAGGGTACTCAGAAGGGACAAGGGGACTAAGAACCATGAACAAGCAGCATATTGTCTTGGTTACAAAATATATCTTGCTTATCACCATAGAACCTTCATCTGGCGATGGATGGAGATAGAGACAGAGACCCACATTGGAGCACTGGACTGAGCTCCCAAGGTCCAAATGAGGAGCAAAAGGAGGGAGAACATGAGCAAGGAAGTCAGGACTGCAAGCTGTGACAGTGGGGCTGATCTAATGGGAGCTCACCAAGGCCAGCTGGACTGGGACTGAAAAAGCATGGGATAAAACTGGACTCTCTGAACATGGCAGACGATGAGGGC